TCCCTCTTGCCTTCTCTCTTGTCTCTCTCTGGTCAGATTAAAATAAATGAGTGAATAAATAAAATTAAATAATTGTTTCTAAAAGAAATATATAGCAATAATAAATAAAATTAAATAAATAATTCTTTAAAATAAATAATTAGCAGGGTCGGTAGGTGGCATGGTGGTTGAGGGTGCTAGACTCCCACATGGCCAATCATAGTTCGAGTCCCGATCCTGGTGGCTTGCTTTTTCACTTTCCCTCTCCGTCTCTCAAGAAAAAAAATAATAATAGGGGCTGGCAGGTGACATGGTGGCAGTTAAGGGCACTGGACTCCAACATGGCTGACCATGGTTCATGTCCTAGACCTGGTGGCTTGCTTTCTCATTTTCTCTCTCTCTCTCTCTCTCTCTGTCCCTCTCTGGTCTAATTAAAATAAATAAATAAGGTTAAATAAAATCATTTTAAAAATAATAAAGTCGTAATTCTAAAATAAATAAATAAGGTTAAATAAAATCATCTTAAAAATAATAATAAAGTTGTAATTCTTTTTTTTTTAAAAAAAGGAAAACTGAGCACAGTAAAGCAGTCAGGTCGAGGAATAAGACTTCACATCAGGCAATCAGGCGGAGAGTCTCTGGAGGCAACGAGCCACGTCGTGGGTCCCCTGAAGTCCCCATACGTCCCATGAGACTGTCACCAGTCCAATTGGTTCCTGGAGGGCTCCTGAAGGGCGTGAGGCCGGGATGGAGGCCGAGAGTCCAGAGCAGCGCCTCAGTCCCAAGGTCTGTGAGTCTCTCAGACAGCAGCTGGGAGCGATGTTTCCTGGTCACCGTCCAGGAGCCGGTGGCCTTGTGGCCCTGGTGAGGGCTCTTCTGCCTCAAAGTGAAGATTCTTTTTTTTTTTCCCTTTGGAGAGGTTTTTACTATAGGGCGCGTGATTGCGAGACAGAGAGAGACAGACAGACAGAAAGTGAGAAATCACCCCCCCAGGGGGGATGGCCACGCAGCAATCCCTTCTCCTTCATTCTCCTCTTGGGATCTTGGGCACGCACGCACACGCACCCGGTGTGAGTTTAAGCCACCAGGTCCAGGACGCGAACAGCGGTCGACTACGTGGGAGTCCAGCGACATAGCCATTATGCTAACTGCTGGTCCCAAAGCGAAGTCTCTTTTTCAGGGCCTGTGTGTGAGATAAACCTACAGCGGGTCGGTCGGGACGCCATGTCTGGCATTGTCAGAGTTGAGTGTTCGTTCCTCGCTCAGGGCCTTCCCGTATTGCCCTTTCAGTTTTGCAGGTGAAGCGAGGAACCCGGGCCTGCGGGTCCCGCTCGGTACTGCTCAGCGTGGCCTTGTCATTACAGAACGGGTTCTGTGTGAGCTTTCGACAGCTGTGTGGGGCTCACGGTGGGTGGATGGGGAATAGACATTCCAGAAGGAATGAACGCCTGCACAGGGAGAGGGCGAGGCCAGCCACCTGTGGCCAATAGTGGCCCATGAGGACAGTCAATGTCACCTCTCACCAGCAGATAACGTGGTGTCACCGGAGCAGCGAGGGCGGAAGGGCAAGTGGCCTTCCGCACTCACTCCTGTATGTTTCTGTTTGATCTCTGAAGGTTGGAGGTGTTATTTGGAAATGTTTCTGCCGCTTTTTGGCAAGACTGACCCCGTGGGGCCCTGGGGCAGTCACCAGGGCTTTGGGAAGGGGCCAGCTCCCTGGTGGCCAGTGGAGCACACGCGTTAGAAGAAGTAGAGTTGGCCGGGGGAGTGGGGACAGGGGATGCAGAGGCTGCCCTGCCCAGCACGCGAGGCTGGTGATGAGCCCCAGGAGACCGGGGGATGTGGCGGGCAGAGCCAAGAATACAGGCCCCAGACCCACGGAAATAGCCACTTTTGGATTCCACAGGCTCACTACGTTGTGACATCCCAGCCAGCCACAGCGCTCAGACACCAGCCCTTCTGCGGGAAGCGGCCATCTTGGCCCGAGCACCCCTCCTGGCTTCCCACTCTGTACACGGCCGCAGCCAGCCTGCCCTTGGCTCTCAGAGACCCCTCCTTTAACCAGGAAGATGTCCCCCCACCTCCGCTTGCTCCTGTGAGGCCACGAGGCAAGGGCCCTAGCTAGAGGGAGTGGGGGTGCGTGTGCAGCCATGTGGAAGGCAGCCGGCCTGGCAGCAACGCACCCAAGGGAGAGGCTGGCGTCCTCATCTGTGAAATGAGGGAGTTGGACTAGAGGCTGGCGGAGCCCTGCGCCCCCGGTCACCCTGAGATTACAAGGTGTAGGCTCAGGGGGAAGGCGAGGGCTTAGAGCCCGGCCTGGAGCGGCCTGAAGTAGAGGGAGGTTCTATGCTGGGGACTTGGGGTTTGGGCAGAGCTGTCTCTGGACTTAAAGAGACTGGGGCTGGGGACACGATGGGGGGGGATACAGGGGGACACAGGGGGCAGATATGAGGCTCCATGCCCTCTCGCTGAGGACAGGACAGAATGGAAGTGAGCAGGGTGAGGCCCTGGGCTGGGTAGTTACCTTAGACCATTATGGAAGGAATCTCTCCCCTAAAGCAGCCTGGGCCCCCTTCTGAGATGGGCCACCCCCTTCCAGGCACCCTTGAATTTTGATTCTTTTTCCTAAATGTCATCAGTTCTTCCTCACTGCTTTCCAGAAAGTTCTTCCCCACTGTTGTCCAGAAGTGAAATACTACTATTGCCCAGGGCTGAGTGAGGCTGGGGAGCCGGCCAGGGGCTGAGGGTGTAGCATAGCTCCCAAAACCAGAACCCCTGAGACTGAGAAAAACAGAGCAGCCCTCCTCAGCCCTCCTCCGTGTGGTTAGAGGCCAACCCTGTCCAGAAGCTGGGAGGGGAGGGAGGTGGAGGGTGCAGATCTGCGTAGCGAGCACCCATAAAGCCACCTCCATGAGTTGGTGCCTCAAGTTGGGGGGGGGAGCAACTGTGACAGTACACTGATGTCACATGGAAGCCCCACAGTGACCTGTGGACAGTGGATGAAGCACAGGCTGGGCCAACACACGTCCATCTGGCAAAGGGGGTT